TGGACAGTTGACCCTTCAGTCTCACAAACTATTGTCTGTCTGTCAGGTAGTCTTTGATCAAGGCAATTGTTGATGCCTCCACCCAAGTTTTCTGGGGTTTCTGACAATGTAAGTCAGAAAAAAAGGGAAAATATTAAATGCACAAGAAAAAATCTAACATAATATTCATGCATGTGTATGACGGCATGTTCATCTCCAGCTCCAAGAATATAAACAAACTAAAGGAGGTCCTGATAACTGTTTGTTTGCTTGATTTAGTAGACCAACTGTGTCAGGACCTTTATGATGTGGAAATAGTTCTATAGCTACTGAGGACTGTGTGTTGAGTTTATTTGGTATTTTTACCACATTCATTTCTTTAACATTCAGTTTTATTAAATTATTTCGATTGATCAGTACTTTTGTCATTAACTGCAATTTTTAAAGTAACAGTAATAAAGTTTTCTTGGCTTAAAAAGAATCAAAATCCCAAAACAAAAACAAAAAATTTGCAGGTATTAAAATCTTACATTGTTTTTGGTCAATTTTGTTGGAAAAGTAAAATAAAATGTACATGTCACAATATCAAGTCATTTTAAATAGAACGATTCTTAAGAAAGGGTGAGCAAACTTTTGCTTCCAATGAGTCTTTCTCTTTTTAAATAATAAAAAAGAAATACTCGTTTATCCCTCAAATAAGCCAAAAAAATAATAATAATTAAATCCCAAACTTAAGGAGGCACTTACATCAGAACAAGGAAGACAGAAATTTTAATATTGAACAACATCTGTACCTGACAGTACAGATGTGATCTAGGGCCAGTGAGTAATACTTCTGGAGTGTAATGTAGTTTTTAAACTGTAGTTTTATTATTATGTTTTAATCACTTTAATGTGAATAACATAAAATGGTCAAATTACTGTCTTAAACCAAAGAAAAGGCACAAGAAATAATAATGAGACAATCTCTTATTCATTCTTTTTTATTAAACACTTAATCCTTTCTGTACATTAAAACCATGTAATGAAACAGTCTGGAGCTCTAAGCTTATTTTGTCTGGAAACATTTTTCTTCTGGTATCAGAAGATCACGAACACAAGTGTCTCGCCATAGAAACAAGACTCCCTTTATTGAGAAGTTAACGCTGACAACTAAAACTAATAACAATTACGATGTGAAAGACAGTAAGTTGGTTTCAATCACATTGCTGTTATAAAGGAAGAACATAAAATGAGCCTTTCTCACACAGCAGGTTCAGTGCATGTAAAGGTGCACCCTTGTTGTTTATTTATAGGTAATAAGAATCTATGTTGAATTAAGAATCGGGGAAAAAATAAAAAGATTTTCATCCAGTCAGACTTGGTCTAATACTTTTTGCACGGAAGGCAAAAAAATATCATTTCAAGTAAGAAGAATGAAAATAGTGTCTAAATGTGCACATTTTAGAGGCTTACAGCTGTGAATGCAGCAATACATTATTTAATAAAAATGCTAAGGTTGATGAATATAAATAGTCAGTTTTTCAAATTTTTGTGTTAACAAAAAATTGATTTTTCTTCATGTACTTCACACAAATGCTCTACTTTATTCTGTTCTCACACTGAATCTTATAAAATATATTGAATGTTGCAGTTTATTTGAACAAACTGGAGCAGGAACTGTGGCATTTTGTGCATTTCTGCTGTGTGACAAAGGCCAGTGATTGTCAGTGGAAATTAAAATGCATTAAATTGAGAAATAAGGTGATAACCAACCATAATAGGCAGCTGAATAATGTCTTAAGGCAAAAAGTTCTAGATGAAACAGTAATAGAAGCTGCTTTAAGTCAACACTGCATCAAAATTTCCCCTAAAACCCTCATCAAACATTAAAGCACTGCATGTTTCTATTTCCTGAAAACCCAGCAACGATTGGCATCGCCTTTTGTCCCCTTTGCAAGCACTCCGTACCAAAATCTAACAAACCTGGTCCAACGTATTTTCAAGAGCCTTTTACCAGATTACTTTATATAAAAAATAAAAACATACTCTTGCTGTATTTAGATGTTAAACAACACAGACTAGTGCTATCTCTGCAACAGGCAAACCAAAATCCTTTGTCAGTTTGCTCTCTGGTTGAAGAGAAATGGTTATCCATTTTCCTCAATGTTCATTGGCTGTCTGGAAAGACTTAATCGTTAATTCGATACAAAATTAATGAGCTAAAGAACATCAAACACTGAAACAATGAGTTGTGAAAAAGAGCTTTGGATTCAAACATAGAGCTACATATGAACATATTTACAGCATCAACCTCTTCCTAACAGAAACATCTAAAGAGCAAACAACAAAACAGATACGTTTGAAGGCAGTTCAGACAATAATTGCACAGTTTAGTGATAGTAGAGGCCTTAAAATCAGACTTACCGGTATCTGAAATATTAGGTCATAATGTTTTAAAGTCATAGTCTAAGTATCCAATTATACAGGCAGTGTGGTTAAGGTTAAGCAAACATTTAAACAGGTGTTACCAGAGATTATCGCTATACTGCATGAACTATGAGAAACACTTAGCTACACTTGACGTCTTATTTAGTAAATATTATCATATTATGTTACCATTGGCATCTAAACACATTTTGGCACAGTCTAAATACATCCAGTAAAATGTTGATGCTGTGGAGGCTGAAAGGATCCTGATGCCACTACAGCCCAAAGAGGCTTCCCTGTTAAAGTCCTTTCAAGTAACCTAAGAAAACTTCTGGGTGTTTCTTAACTAGAGAAAGATTGAAGAAATATTTAGAAGAAGTGTTCTAAAGTTGAACAGGAAGCATATTGGTAAGATAAAGTCTCTTTAGTTCTGGTGCAATCCTAAATCACATTACAATCATCTTCAACAGGTGAACATATGGTGTAAATACAAATGCCATTATTATTATTATTATCTTGCAATACTTTCTAAAAGTTTTTTTGTAAAAACCCATAACATCAATATGTTTTATTGAGATTTTATGCGATAAACCGCCTCATAAAAGCATGAAAAGAACAGCAAAGACTCCCGTTCATAAGAAAGCAAACAGGTTTGTGGTAACTCTGGAGGAGCTGCAGAGATCCACATGTGAGGTGAGGTAATCTATTGACAGGATAACTGTTAATCAGGGACCCACAAATCTGGACTGTACTGTATGTACAAGCGACAGAACAAACATTTTGGAAAGGGTAATAATCATATGAAAGTGGAATCCAACTGTTTTACCTAAATGGAAAAATAAATATATGAAAAAAAAGATAAAACGACGGTAACACCATGGTGTGGAGGTGTTTTTCTTCAGCAGATGGGTGGAAAACTTTTAGACTTCTTTAAAAGCTGGTTTGAGTTAAAAATGGGGCAACACAGGAAGACAACCTTTTAGAAGCTACAAAAGACTTAAGACTGAACTGGAGGTTTACCTTCCAGCGAGGTGAACCTAAACACAGACCGAGCTAAAATTGTATGGCTTAGATTAAGGTATGGTACTAAATTAGAATTACCAGATTCTAATCCAGTTGGCAGTCTTTGGAAGCTGCTGTTTATAGATGGTTCCAATTAAATATGTCTGAGCTTGATTGGCTGACAAATTGAAAATTGGGCCAAACATCTCTTTGCCAGATAAGAAAAGCTGGTAGAAAGACAGACTGTAGGACTTGCAGCTCTTACTGTAGCACAGGTCCAACAATGTTTTGACTGAATAGTGCTGCAAGAAAACGCTTTTTACATTTTCTTTTTAAAAAAAAATTAAACCACATATTCTTTTCACTTTACAACTGTGCAATACTGTGATGGTCTATCACATTAAATCCCTAAAATGTATAAAACGCAGGTTTCAGATGTAAAAATACTTAAGTAAGGAACTATTTAACCAACACTCTTCAGGGTTATGAATCTGCACTTATACTTCTTAATCGAATCATTCAAGGTTTTATTACTTTTACTAGTAATAAAAGATCAAACTATCATGTTTTAGGATTCATTGAATTATTTTTTGTTTATAGAAAGCTTAGCATATAAAGGACAAATGTTAGAAATTATTTGGTCAAATAAGATTTTTTGGTGTAGTAAATAAACACAATAGGGGTTTATGTTTGTTTTGGTAATTCAAACAGTACTAATAAATCCTAAATAAACATGTATATAAACATAGGCTCTCAGGGGCAACCAACAATAACCTGATGGAGCTGTGCTATTCAAATCAAATAAATGTTATGAATAAAATTTGAGTAGTTAACTTGGTGGGTAGTAGATCTAATAAACAACACTTGTGAAAACAACCTGCTGTTTCTAAGCTGATGTAAAGAAATGTAAGCCAGCCTCTGCAGAACCTCAGTCTCTACTCTAGATTTTGACACAGCAAAAGCAGGCATTTAACTAATATATCATTTAAAATTATGTTTCTTTAAAAATAACATATGCACAAATAAACCCTAGAAACAAAAACCAACAGGTGGCAGGTAGAATGTGCTTTTTCTGTAATTTTCAGTAGAGGGCAGTGTTGAACAGCAGGATATGTCTGCAGCTGAAGTCTAGCAGGGGTAAAGGTTAAACTGCAAAAACAATCTGAAATTAAGTAAAAATTTCTTAAATCAAGTGTATTTACACTTAATTTGAGTAGGTAAATAAGATAGTTTGCCAATGGGATAAGTATTTTTACACTTAAAATAAGATAATTAGATAATATGCACTTGAAATAAGACAATGCAATTGATTTTTCTTATTTCAAATGTAAATTGTCTTGTTCCACTGGCAAAGTCTCTCATTTATCTCCTCAAATCAGGATAAAATGCACTTATTTTAAGAAAAAATGACTTATTTAGATTTACATTTTTTGCAGTGTATGGAGGATATTCTTGAAAAGTTTATTCCCATTTAAACTTCTACTCTGTTTCCCTTATGATTGTTTATAACCACGCTGCGATGAAAGGCTTTGTATGAAGACCTGTAACATTCAAATTCTGTCAGAACCAGAAATAAAAAACAGAAATTCAGTTTCTTCATTTGTTTTTCCTTTTTTTTTCTCCCAACTTTATATCTGGAACAGACCTTTGAGTTTGGTGAACAGGGTTCCTACAGTTTCCCTTCTTAAGATATAATAGGTATCTGTAGGTTGAACTGTTTATTAAAATCACCATCCAAGCAGAACTTTGTTGCAACTTATCCCCGTTTGGTTTGGAGAAGTTTGATGTTCTCGTCTAATTCCTCTGCTTTAGTTTCATACAGGTTTGTTTCGGCAGCACTCGTCAGACCTGCTCCTCTTCCATCACCTCCATGACGATGGTCCTAGGGCCGGTGAGGATCAGGTTGCTGACGGTCCGGTAGTCGTGGGAGAGGACGTTTAGGCCGTTCACAGATACCACAAACTGACACACCTGGAGGTGGATGAAGAGACACTTAAAGCAGGTTTTAGGTTATGGTTCATTTAAAATGACAATGAGGTAAACTAATATAGGACTCATATCATGAGAACATTTTTAACAGTAGTGACCAAATTATGCTTTAGAGAGGGAAGACATAAGCCTACAAAAAAGGCTGTGGTGATAACGCTTTGCTGGAGAAAATGGAGGGTTAGTTTCATTCTCTCAGATTATTAGATCATATTCTAGCCTGTAGCATTTATTTTTGTTTACGGTTTTGTGTAAAAACATGTGTTATTAGTCAGTGCAGCCAGTGAAAGCATCCTACATTTAGATGACATCATCAGAGTAATCCTTAGCGACACAACACTTCTTTTAAAGCCACAGAGATCTTGTTGCATGGATAGTAACCAGCGGAGCATCGAGCAGAGCAAACCTTTCAGTGAGCAGGCATATAGAGTCATTACTGTTATCAGCAATGAAGTTCTAAGAACATGACAGACACACCCAAACCACGCTGCTTATACCTGGGACTTATCATGATATTACCAAAGCTCCAACAAAGCAGTGACTGATAGCAAGATGACTTCATGCGTTTAAAAAAACAGCTTAGATAATGCTCTGTGTTTGTAAGTATAGCTTTAAAACATATAAATATCAATTACATACAAAGAGAGAGATAAAAACCTTGTTATGTCCTCCTGGATAAAAGCGGAGCCTTAAGCTACACTGCTGACAGTCTGAAATGTCTGAGAAGCTTTTAACACATAAACAGACAAATCACACCTTTCTATGGACCGTAAGCTTTCTCCCTGTGATAGATCTTATACACTGGATGTGTGTGATTATTTTTCCTTCTGTGTGAGTCTGTAACTGATTTATATTTCAAATATTTGGTTGTCAAAACGGAAACAAATGTCTCCAAATGGATGCATGAATTATCTTAAGTTGTGCAAAACCTCAGGTCTAAGACTCTTCTAGTAGGGCAATGGCACGGAATGACCAGTATACCTGAGAGGGAAGAAAGCGTATTGGTGCTGGGTTTTTCCTCAAGGTTCAGTTGGCCTATGAAAACATATTAAAGAAAACTACTTTCTTGTTTCTCCTGAATTAATGCCGAAAAGAAACCACTCAGAGGACACAGGAAGATGATATCTCAGTGCAGGCGCTGGTTCACCTACTTGGTCCAGCTGCCTTTTTGAGCCTGGATGGTTCGCTTAGCATTTTTAAGCAGCTTTAAAAAACAAAAAAAAAAAAAAAACAGCCAAAAATGGATGAAAAACTGCATCCTATGAAGCATGCTAAAACAGTCTCTTCTACTGCTGTTTCCTCCCAACCTGTTTAACTATCTCTATACACATTCCTCTTGGACTCTCCCCCTGCTGATTTTTTTTTTTTTTTTTCCCAAGCTCTGGGATTATTAGCGTTGGCAGGGGCCCAGCTTGACTTTGCAGCTCATTGTAGCAACAGTTAAAAATCAGTTTTACACGTTAAAGGAAAAGCTAACCATTCACAACAGAGCTAATCAGGGCATAGAGGAACTGAGAAAAAAGAGTCCGTGAGCAAAAATAAATAAATGCTCCCCTACAAACTTAGTTACTGGAGAGGAAGGAAGTTTAGACCAGTTTTAATTTTATTTTGGGCCAAAACTTCAGCATGTAGACAGATAAAATGAAGGGATATCTGTGACTCCACAGATGGATGTTATATCAAGTTTCAGTTCTTAAGACTGTTGTGTTTTTTTAACCTGGTATGTAAACTAAAGTGCACAAGCTGTGTTTTTTACTGAGAGATACAAAAGCAAACCTCTGCGGGTAGGGGGGATTTTGCAGAGGTTTCCTGGAAACCTTGAAGTGACAACAGGAATCCAGGGGAGTCTCAACAAGAGTGTTTACCAAAATGTCAAACTCTAACCTTAGCAGGCAGCCAGATCCATGTTGTCCTCGCAATCCAGTTTAAGAAAGACAATCTGTATTTGATGTGACAGTTATTACATCGGGGTTAAAATGTTTTCACATTTTGCACTAAAATGACTGCAGCAGTCTTGCACACATTTACTAGCAGGGTGTACCGTTCAGTACACGCTGAAATACCTGATGAAGCAGACTGACATGACTTGGAAGACCCAGTGGTGGGTGATTAACCTGACATAAGAAAATCCTGTTAATGATTTTACAACCTGCAGCCATAGATCAGTTCTTTCTATTAACCTCCTTCCTAAGCTGTAATGCCATCACTTTACAAGTTTCAAAAATCCTTCCCTGAATTGGACAAATCATTACACATCACTGAGCTTGCGGTGCAAGCAAATAAACCTTTGGGGCTGTTGCACACAAGCAGAGTTATCTGTCAGTGTAGATGGAGTGGAGAGATTTACTTCTTATGGTCTGATCTTATGAGACAGATTGTATGGAAGCTAATTTCTGCCACACATAAAAGAACAAAATGGGATAGTCAACATGATAAATGCTATTTTAAATCAATATGCTAACTTTCAAAGTCAGTGCTCTAAGATAAAACACAATTGTTTACTCAAAATAATAACGCTTACTTCAAGTTATGAGAATTTCAAGTAAACATTTATCTTTAAGTTATGAGGATTTTAAGGACACACTTATCTGGTAAAAAATTCGAGATTAAAAGTCAAGACTACATGTTTTAAAGCCAATATCTTTAAAAATGTTGACTTTATAAGTAAAAATATTGATGCCAAAAAAACCTTATTTATAATACTAGACTAAAAGTCAGGATATCCAGTTTCATAATAATCAGTAATTAAGTAATAAATCTGAATTATGAAGTTGTATTTTTGAAATCTTAAACTGTCATTATGGGTTTAAAAGCTAAACAATAACATGCAATATTAGTCTTCCATTTCAAAAGGAAGGTTCAAAATTTACAATTCACAACTATGAGACTCAAAAGCAGAGTCATGATAATGAATCAAGATTATAAATTAAAGAGAAAACTCTTATTAACCTTGATTTACCAATTCAAAATTAGGACTTTGCATTTAAAGTCAAAAAACAGGACACTGCTCCTTTAAAGTGGCAGGACTTCACTTTTATAGAACTGCTATAGACTCACAAGGACTTTTCTAAAATCAGCAGTGAGGAAACACATTAGAAACAACACAGATAATATTTCCATGGTAATAACATAGTAATAACATCACTAAAGGAGAACTAATAGCTTCCTCTTTCCGTGGAGGGACTAAAACTTCACCTTCAACTTAATGTTTCTCAAATGATCCAATTAAAAATGTTTTTGCCAATGTTTTTTTTCTTCTCTTTTTTTAAACGTTGAGTCTAAAACTCCATATGCGAAATCCCCAGAATTCTTTGCTACAGCCCCTGTTGACCTATTTTCATTTCCAGTCAAAGCAGCAGAGCTAATATTACCCTGTTTAAATCTCTTTTCTTTTTTGTTTTTTTTTCCCTTTTGACAACACAAATCTCTAACCACTGTCCTTGCGATGTTCCCTTTGTGGAATGAGGCCACAGAAACTGTTCCTTTTTTTTTTCGACTGCTGTCCAACTTCTTCCAAAACATTATTTCTAAAACAATAAAATCCCCCATCTTTACACTAATGTTTCAATCTTTAAAATTAAGGCAAAATGTCTCTCCACTAAGTATTGTTAAGCTTTAATGGGTGGATTTTACAAACAAATGTTTGAGGTTAATCTTAGACTCAGAGATATTTTTCTCTTTAAAGTGAAACCATAACGTTGCTAAATGTCAGGTAATCATCCATGCAGAAAGATGATAAATGCAGATTCTAATGCATACCTATTGACCAGGGCAGGTTCTAGACAAAGGTACATGTAGGGGCATACAGAAATGTGAAGGGGGCACCTTCATCCATACACATTATGCATTATAAACCTTATCCATAACTGTTGACTTGTGTTTACTTCATGGGGTTGAAATAATAGATAAAAGCTTAAACTTTAAAAAAGTTACATTCTGAATTCAGAAGATGTGCATTAGTGTCAGTTTATGGAGCAATCTTGACAGTGAGAGAAAACAGTTTAAACCTTTTTCTGCATTTAAATTACATTTGAAAATGATGATGAATCAGTACACCATTGCCTAAGCTCATGATTAATTGTTTATCTTTTTATTTACTTTTTTGTGTTTTTAAATCTTCTATGCAACAGTCCTCTGAGGTTGGGAGCCAATTTTCTATTTACGTGAATATGGGGAGAATAAAAGGTTTTACTTTTTTATGCTCCTTTTCATTTATGATTTCTCGTAAATGTTACATGAGATATTTATATTTATGACCGAGTGAATGAAATAAATAAATACGCCACATCCAACTTCACAAAAATGGACTGCACTTTCTCAGGCCTCTACCCTAAAACAAGCCTAGTTTGGCTGCCCTGCCTAAAGTAAAACTCCTGCTAGTATAGCTCCTATGGCCACTGAGGCATGCAAATCCTTATTTCAAAGAGAAATTAACGAATAATAAAGTAGGACAATAAGATATTCTTTATCTAAGATTGAACAACCAACACACTATTTATCTTATTGGATGGACATCATGCATTTCAAACTAATTAAGCCTAATAACAACAGAAAATTGATATCAATAGTAAAAAAAAACACAAAAACACTTTCTCAAACCGGAATAACAAACAGTAACTTTTCTTTTTGTTTGTTTTGTTTCTTTTAAAGTTTTTTGTAATATTTTTTGTTTTTGTTGTGCTGCCATTCAGTTCAATTTCAGTTGGACAAAACTGGCAGAGATGGTGTTAGGGTTATTATGGTTGATCCTGTCTCTGTACATATGTGATTAAAGTTTCCACTAACACGCTCACATTTGGAAAGGAACAACAAACCATTGATATGACAGAGAGATGTCATATTTGCTTCTGTTTTTATAGTTAACTATTTAAAAAGTCTCAAAATATGAATATCTGTTAAGAATTTCATGGGACTTTTCTGCTTCCTCAAAGTTACCACCTAGTGAGGAAGAACTCTGACATTGTTTGCTCTTCAGGCTCATTTGCATACTGAATGTTGATTGGTCGTTTCTTTAAAGGAAGGGTTTAGGCTCTCAGCTGAGTGAGATGACAGCCTGACAAGAACTTCACTAAAATATACAGTTATTTTTGGCAGGTTTGATTAGATGGGACATTACCCCCTCGTGTCTTAGCATATAACCAGCCTTGCTGTCCACCATCATATCATGACCATTCACAGACCAAAAGTTCTTTTTTTCATTTAGCATGTTTTCCCTTAGAAATCCCCCTCCTCCTGACTTGACCACATATCCATCAAAACATTGTTTGCAATAAATAACAGTGCTCAGTTTCCCACCAGCTGTTACCTTTATGCCAACAGCAGCAGCAGGTCCACCAGGATCCACCGCCTGGATATGACAGGGTCTGCTTCCTCTCACCACAAATCCCCAGCCCACAGCATCACCCACAATCTGCGAAGCAAAACCAAAACAAAGGGTGAAAAAAGGATATTTAACTGTTTTTGATCATGAGCGATGTATAAAGAATCTTAATTATCACATAAGCAGGAACTTTATCTGCTCATAACTAAATATTAACAATGAATGTTTGTATTTTTCAGGAATGTTTATAACGGTTTTTGTGTAAATGGGCCCTTCATACATTCAAGGCAAAAAGGCTCGAATTTGAATGCATTATAATATTATGTGAAGCTGTGTGAGTGTTTGTGTGATCATACAGTGAACGTCTTCTTAATAAAAGGCCCTCCTGGTGTCAGAAGCTCCTCTGGAGTCACGTGCCTTTTCACAACTGTTAACAAAGACATATCGATACAAAGCAGTGTCAGACAGAGCTAAACACCTCAACATGATAGATGCATGGTTAATAACCGTTTCCTGCAAGCTGTAGCATTGTGAATATGGACTGAACATGTAATTCATCTGTTTGAAAACATGTATGTTTGCCTGAGGGTAGAAAATGTGAGAAAAGGTCACATGCTGACACAAGCCTCAGACATGCTACTTCCTGCTCCTTTAACTTCCCCCAAATTGTTCCACACATCTCCATAACTTTACATGGAACAACTTCTTGTATGAAAATCATTCCTAGACACTAAACAGAGAGGGTAACATTAAAAGATATGTTTTGATGCTTGGAGGCTTTTAGACAAGTTACTGTATTTATTGATACCAATCATTTAAATAAAATTAAATCACTGAATGCTGAGTATTATTTCATTCTATTGTTTTTTGTTGAATCACAGTTAAATGCGCAAAACAATTGATCAAAATTATGGTGCATATCTCCAGCAGTCTATGGTGGAAAGGAGGGGAACACCCTGGACAGGTCAGGTTTTAGACCCACCAGCTAACCTAATTGTCATCTTTTAGGATCGCAGGAGGAAGCTGGAATACCCAGAGAGAACCCATGCCTGTACAGGGAGATCATAACAACTCCAAACAGAAAGACTGGGAATCAAACCCAAGACCCTCATACTACAAGGCAAAAGTGCTCCACACTGCACCGCACGGCTTTTATTTTCTGTTCAAGTTATAGTACAGAGCTAAAGTATTCACACCTAAGACTTTTCTAACTGTTAGTCACATTAAAACTAAAAGCAACAATGTAGTTTTTCAATAATTTATGTGAAAGTCTAACACAAAGCAATGTATGATTCAGAAGGATCTGAAAGGTGTGGCGTGCCCCTTTATTATGACACCCCTGAATAAATTCCAAGGCATCCAAATACCTCCAGAAAGTAGAGTTTTGTGTGAGTTTAGCAGCATAAATACAACACACAGCAGACAGGTCTGAGATGAAGTTGAGGCTCAGTTTAATGAGCAAGATCATGAAATCTAGCAGCCAAGCTGACCGTGGGAACTCTAGAGGAGGTGCAGAAGTCCAAAGCTTACGTAAGAGAATCTGTTGATAGGCACAACTATTAGTTGTGTCCTCCTTGCATACCAGTCTTAGAAGCTTTGTTGGGTTTAAAAAAATAATATTTGATTTGATTTACACAACAGAATGACATGAAAATATGAAAACATGTTTTTAGATCTACTTTTCTTATGAGTTTCGAAATTGTTTTACAATTACAATTATTATTTTAATTTTTTTTTACATCAAATAATATCCTACGGAGAAAAATCTGGTTCATCTTTATTAAATGTTTTATAGTTGACCTTATTTTAAAGGCAAATACACAAATAAACATTTGGTTGTATAAAATGGAAACAGATTTCCTATAGCAGATATTGAACAAAGATAATACGTTTTTTTGTACGTTTGTTTTTTAATAAGGTCACAATCTGTCAACAAAGCTTCAATATTTGCGGCTCTTAGCAACTTTAATGAGTCAGACTCAAGGCAAAACACGCTGTTTGGATTTTATTGGTTGCAGACCCCTGGCCTACAGCCTTGGATGAGACGCAGCAAATACAAGAGAAAAGGTGCTCTGGTTATATAAGACCAGAACTGCATCTTTAATGCTGTGTTGTTGAAATGTTGGAGGGACATTTTTTGTCTCATTTTACTGTTTTTTTTTTATGTATTGTTTAATTCTTACAAACAGAAAAATACTTTAGTTAGATTTTCTATTTGATTTAAAAGCAGAGAAGAAACTGTAAACTGTATAAGTACAATCCCCTGGTTGGGACAGAATATAACAAACGACAACAGATTAAATATTGGGCTGGACGGTGGCTCTATGTCTTCCTACCAGATTTGGGGTTGCAGAGAACTGGCGGGCTGCTGCTGAGTGTCGGACTGCTGCTGTAGTATCCACTGCTGCCACAGCTGCTGCTCATGCTGCTTCGGCGAATCCCAACAGCCACCTTGATCTCTTTAGTGGGACTCACTAACACAGAAAAACTCCAACTTATTTTAAATGTCAGAGTTATAAGGAATGAAAACATGAAGCAAACAATGCACACATATAACTTTGCTTGTCACATGCAGCAACATAAAAAAAAAATATCAAAATAAAATCAAGGGGCAATCCACAAATCTGGAATTTAGAAAAAAAACAAATAATCAAAACAACCAAATCCAAAGTCTGTTTCTTAACAACCTATATTACCCTTTAATTACATCACGTTGTGAAAAGGTTAAGGTGACTCCAATGAATATGTCAAACTGACATCCCGTCTTCAAACTTTCACAGCTTTTGCAATTTACTAAAACACTATTAAATAGAAAAGATAAAAGAAGAACTCCTTGGTCACAGACCATATCATACAATACAGGACGGAAAATCCAAATAAATATCCCTACAAATTATACCTTAAAATGTAGGGGTTAAAGTCAGTTTACTGTGTTATACTACATAGCAACACAAACAGGACTCCTCTGTTATCTTCATAAAACCATGGACACCAGAATTTGTGAGTGGGAGTGTGCCTCTGTTCTGGTATCTGAGTCAACAGGAGATAAGCCAAATTAGGTAAATATGTCACTGTTTACAACAGAGATAGGAGTAATTTCCAACCTTTATAGCTTGATTACTGCTTTAATATGGACATAAACAAACTTCTTCCTCATTTATAGCTTCCCAGCAAAGGTGTTGACATCTCTATGTCAACAGATCCTCCTGGAGAAGTGGTAAAACAGGTATGGGTGATACTCGGTGGGACGTGCAAAGACTTGAAATCTGCCGGTACCTGAGAGGAAGCTGGTGTTGCCTCCATCAGACTGCTGTTTACGGAGGCAGAAGGGGCTGTCGTGGCTCTCTGCGATGGTGCGGCTGCGTTCCTGGAGGAGCTCAATCAACCGCCGGCGACGGCGGAAGTTCATCCGGTACTGGTAGAGGAGAGGCCCGTCGACAAAGTGATGCTTGTTGGTCACTGAAAGAGGGAACAAGCGGACAAATGAGATGATAAGTTTAAAGAGTAAAAAGATGAATATCGAAGTAAGGAATACGTCCATGACATTTCTTTGCCCTGATCTTAATAGTTAAGTTTAAAAAGAAATATGATCAATGCAAGTCGATATCAGCACTCTAAGAAAAACACTATCAACCTCAGTTAGCTGAGCTTATCAGACAGGAGCAGCCGTTAGGAACATTCAGCACACACCCCGACACAAAGGGCTTGTCTCCTACATGCATCTGTCTTAATATTTAGGCTGCTACTTTTACTCAGTCAAAACCAGACTTGTCAGACTAATACAATAAACAAAACACTCATTTTTAGGCTTCTATGTAAAACCCTGTCAAGGTTGAATATTTAGACTCAACACTGTGCCCTGATGATACATTTGGAATTTTTTAGATCAACGTGAGCCCTTTAAAGCAAGGAGCAAACGACTGCCTTTTTCCTTTATGGTGAAATCAAGACAATAAACAGTATATTTGTACAAATCCTATGGTTTGTTTAATGACGGAACCTAAAAAAAGCAGCAACATGTTGAACTTTTATGCACAAGCCCCTGTAAAAATGTAAGCTATCACTAAAAACTTAAAAAAGCAAATAAAAAAACGTGCTCACCCCTTTGCATGGTGGGAAGAAAAATGTTTTGTCTTTGAGTGTTTCAAGATGATTATTTTACTATTGCTTAGATTTTACTCATTTCTTAAACATGCCTTATATTTTACGCATATAAAAAAAGACCAAAAACTATTTTATCAAGATAAAACGCAAAAACATACACCAAGCATCCATCCTGAGAGTGCTTAGATAGTGCCTTTTTTAGCCTAAATAGAATTACAGCACCAGGTGAGATGAGCAGACATAAACAGATGTGTGTGCCATCTGTAGGGACTATAAGAAAGCCAGAGGGAGACAATTGAAGCAGCTACTTCAACTCCACGACCCTGCAATCATTGATGTTAAAGCAGCATTTTGGCATGATCGAAGACCAATTTATATCAATTAAATAAACCGATCTACAGCTGAAACCACCCTAAAGCCTCCTACTAGAAAATAAAGGGACAAAAAAAATGTATCTACTCATAACGTCATTTGTAAATGGAATGTAGAGACAAAGAACAGCATTATTATCACTAGTTTCTAAATAATGTTTACTAACGCATCCAACACCACTGCAGTGATATCTGAATGCCTCCTCAGCCTTAGATCCCGCCACTTTGCTTTGCCTTGCGGCTGTGTTTGCTGTGGTCGGTGGGGGCGGGGTGGTTTCGTTGTGTTTTTGGGTGGGGGAGTCCGCCTGGGGGCTTGGTTGGTGCCGTCGGTTCGTCCTTGTCGGCCTTCCGGTGTTGTTTCTGTTGGGGCTGCTCGGGCCCCCGCATGCCGGCGGTGCGCTGCCGGGGGGATTCCTGTTCGGCGGGCTTGCCTGTCTCCTGGGAGGGCAGGCATGTTGACTTTTCTGGGGAGGAGCATCTGGGTGGAGGGGTCCTCGTGGTGTGGCGGTGGGTGTTGGGCACTGGCTTGTTTGCGGCCGTTCTTCTCCGGTGAGGGGGAGAATATTATAATTTTTTTGTTTTTGTTTTTGTTTGTTTTTTGTGTGGGAGGGGGTGTGTGGGCGGGGGGATCGGGGCTTGGAGTGGGGCTCGGGATTTGCGCTTAGCTGTGTTGTGTGGCTTTCTTCTTCTTCGGATTGGTGCTGTGGGACCGGTGTTGGGGGGAGTCGTTCGGGGGCCGGGGTCGGGGTGGGGGTGCTGGCGCCGGTGCCGGTGCCGGGGGTTTTTGGGCATTGCCCGGCCCTACTGCGGGGTGGGTCTGGGGTGGCTCCTTGGGCCTGGGATCCCTGGGGCGCATTGCCCTTGGGCGGGGTCCCCGGTGGGGGTTCGGGGGTTCGGGTTCTGTGGGGAGTGCTGCTTGGGTTCTGGGCCGGTGTACGCCTGGCTGTCTGTCCCTGCTGCCACGGCCTCTGGTGTGCCGGGGTGCCTCGGGGCCTGCTGGGCTGGGGGGGGGGCATGGACATTAACACCTATGGCAAGTGCTTACCCCCTCACGGGTTTGCACTCTGTAAGTGGGGGAAGGGGAGGGAGGGGGAGTAGGTATGATCTCGGCCTGGATGTCTTCTGTCGCTTGTGTGGTGAGTAGCTTGATTGTTATTGTAGGGGAGGGATTACATCTCCGGAGGGGGGGTGGGGGGTGGTGATAGAGGGAAGAAGATCTTTGAAGGGCTTTGGGTCTGGCTCCCTGTCTTGGTCCTGGTCCGTGCTGCCCCCTGGTGGGGCTTCGTCCGGGGTGGGGGCTCTGCGTGTTGCGCGTTGGCTGGCCGGCTGGGATTGTCCCTTCCCTTATTCATTTATTTATTTATTATTATTTTTTTTTTTCTTATCTTCCTTTTATATTTTTTTATTTATTTATTTATTTTTTTTTTTTAATTTTATTTATTTATCTACTTATTTATTTATTTATTTTTTTTATTATTATTATTTTTTTGGATGGACAGGACGGGGGGGGGGGTGGTGGAGTCGGCTCCGTGCCCGGCTGGCTGGTGGGTCCTGCTGCCGGTCCCGTGCCCCCGGGCTATGGTGGTGAAACTGGTGGGGCCCCCTTCTCTGGGGGGGCTCTCGGGGAACGGGGGTGCCTATTGGAGTCAGCGGGGGAGCTGGCTCCCTGGGAGTGCAGCAGGCACCCCAGTCCTTTGCTCCCCATCCCCGAAATCCTCCCTCTGCCTGCTCCATCACTCGGCCACACATGTAGGTTTTTGGGGAGGGGGTCGTTACTGGAGGGCCACACCTTCTGATGACGTCCCCCACCCCAATTTTATTTTGCATTTTAGACACTTCCATCTACATCATTTTCACAACACACATCTATGTAGGGCATTTTCGGGGGGTGGGGGTCAGGGCCACCGGGGGGGGGCTTATTTTATGGGCCTCACCACGGTCGGCCTCCTCCATCCCCTCTCGCATCTAGACATTGAGGGTTGAGGGTTGTCGAAGGGGGAGGGTGTGCTGGCACCGTCTATCTCCTGGAGGGGGGGTGGAGTGTGCCGGACACCCCCTCTTGGTACTCCCAGTTTTAATTGCATCTGAGAGCAACACGCAACAACACCACATTCGAGCGGGCGCAGTGAGGATCGAGGTCTTCTCACACCCCTGTTCTCCGGCTGCCGCCTGGAGTCTGGGGCCTGGAGGAAGAGCGGGCCACCTGGTCCGTGGTTTTGGCTGGGGCTGGCTGCGGGGCCTAGGTGGCCTGCTGGTGGCGGGGCTGTCACCTCTGCTCTCCCCAAAGAAGGTTGGATGGAGGGGCATGAAGTGCCTGGTTGAAGGTTTTTTTTTTTTTTTTTTTTTGTTCTTTTCGGGGGGGGGGGCGGTTCTGGTTGGGTGGCCGGCGCGGGATGGGTGGGCCCCGGTCCCGGGGGGGGCTCTTGCGGGGGGTGGTCCGGTCCGTGTGCGGGGTGGGGGGCCGGGCTTGAAGCAGGAAAGAGATGGGTTGGTGTGGCGGTGTCGCCGCTCCCCTCCCCTCACATCCGGATTTTAGGTTCACTTATGGGGTCATCCGATAGTCCCGGGACCGACCACCGGTGTCACCGGGTTTTTGGTCCTGGTATTATTGGATGTGAGTGTTATGTGTGAATGTGTGTCTGCGTTATTTTCTTTATTTATTATTATTATTATTTTATTCAATTTTTTTTTTTTTTTTTTTTTTTTTTTTTTTTTTTTTTTCCTGTGGTACGAGTGGGGGCACTAGGGAGGGAAGGCATGATTGAGATGGTGTGTTGTTGTTTTTTTTTTTTTCTTTCCCAGGTTGGGGTCTCAACCGCACCCTCTCCCAAATACATCTCAAGTCTCCGCTAAGTGCGGAGCCCATTCCCCCCGTCCTGCTCTCCCTCCGCTGGCTGGCGTCGGGGCTCACCGGTGCACTGGTGGAGCTGGGGGTGGATGCCCGGGGGACTGCTGGCTCATTCCTGGCGGCCTCTCCACTGGCCCCGGCCGGCCGGGGCTTTGCTGGGGCTCCTGTCTGGGGGTGGGGTGCCCTTGGGGCCTCGGATCCCTGGGGCCTGGGACTGGATCCGCTTCGGGGTGGGGCTGGGTGTTGTTCGGGGATTTTCGGGGTCGGTGCCGGTGCCTTCGCTACGATGCCGGTTCCTGGGCGGTGTTTCTTTCCTATGCCGGTTCTGTGGTATCGGTTCGGGGAGGGGGGGAGCTGCGCGGCATGGTGGGGTGCGGGTCTTGGGTCCTGTTTTGGGCTCCGGTTTTTCCGCTCGCACTTCTCCTCTTGCCTATTTATTTTAATTGTAATTATTAATTAATTTATTTATTTACCTATTTATTTGTTTTTGTTTTTTTTTTTTTTTTTTTTTTTTTTTCTCTTCCTCGGTGGGGGGGAGCAGTTGCGGGCGGGTCGGTGTCTGGTGTCCGCTGTCGCATTGTGGGGGCCCCTTTTTTTTTTTTTTTTTTTTTTTTTTCTCTTTTTTTCTTTGGGGGGTTTGGCATGTCTGTTTTCTCGGGGGGCAGGCGGGCCTGCTGGGTGGGGGTCCTGCTGGCGGCGCGCCGCTGGTGTGTGGGGGTCCGGGCGGCTCCGGCGGGGGTAGTGTTGGGGGGCCGGTCTGGGCGGGCTGGCTGCGCTGGCTGGGTATTCGGGTGGGTTTTCCCTCCTGGAGGCATGGCGGGGCTGCTCTGTTCCCACTGATCGCGGCGGGTGGGGCTGCGGGGCGGGTGGGGGCCTGGGGTGGCTATGACCGGCGCGTGGTGGGGGGCCGGGGCGGCGGAGCTGCTCTGGCCGCGTGTCGGGGCCTGGTGCGGGCTGCGGGGGGGGGTGGCGGACGTGGCTGGGCTGCTTTGGCATCGTCCGGTGGGGGGGGCGGCGCGGTTCGCTCCGCTCTGGCTTTGTGCTGCCCCTCGGGCTGCTGGGGGGGGGTGGTTGCGCCGGCTGCGGTCTGCTCCTCTTGCGGTTTTGCGCCGGGCGGCTTTTCTGCTCTCGGGCTG